GAGCTGCAGCTTACGCAGCTGCGACTCGGCGTCCGGCGCGGCGCCCAGCGGCCTCACGGTGGCGTGGACGGCCAGGAGCACTGTCGCTGTGCCTGGCTCCGAACCGGGAGCCACCGCCGCACCGCCCGCCGGCGGGGCCATCTCCGGTCCGTCCGGTCCTGACCCTCCGAGCCCGTTTCCGTGACCTGGGCGACTGAGCACATCCGCCGCCCGGAAACCAGAACCACGAGCCTGAGGTTCCGGCCGCGAACCCACGGAGCAGCCGTCTGTCTTGCTCATGGATGGGACACCCATGTTCTGGCCCAGTAAGGCCTCAACAACGTGTCTGGGGTGGTAACATTTGAACTAAGCCTTGATGCAGGGCCAGGTGTCACGACAAGGCCGTTAACTGCAGGAAGGCGCCGTTTCTGCCCCTTGGACGCGGGGCAGGCGCAGGCTTCCGCCCGGCGCAACTTGCTATTACCCACCCAGCAGCCAGGCAACTGGAGGCTGCCGGCGCTCGGCTCAGAGGCGGGGTTTTCTCCGCCTTCCGCTGCCGCGCGCTCCGCCCACACGACGCTTTGTCTGCGACCGGCCGCGCCCAGAGGTTATGGGCCGCCAGGGGGCGGAGTGGACCAGGAATGACCAATGAGCGCCAGGGAGGAAGGCGAGACGCACTGCCTAGATAAGTGACCGACAGGCATACCAGCCAATAAGAGTAGAAAATAAGAATGACCGGCGGGCAGCATTCCCAATAGAAACCTGAGCTATGGATCATAGAGACTAGAGCGGGCCATTCAGAGGTCTGGGGCCGGGCCTTGCGGACGCTTGTTGTTGTCTGGACAGAGGCGGAGGTCGCTCGCTGGTTCGCTCGGTCGCCAGGGCGATCTGTGGCGGTCGGCCAGCAGGTCGGTCGCGGACGTCTGCGTTGTGCAGGGGGCCGAGGCTATGTCGCGGTGGCAGCCCGGATGGGCCGGCAAGGCCGGGAGTAACGGGACGTCTTCGCGGAGCTTCTTCCCCCGGATATTGTGCGGTCCGAGCGGAGGCCGCTGCGCCGTCCTGCGGTCCTGAGGAGCCTGCGCTGCCCAGTGCCCCCACGACGCTCTCTCCGGTATTAACACCAACAGACCCGACACAGCTGGACCTAGCCCAGCCCAAATAGGTAGGTGACCACCCTGCGCCCGGCCGCTGTCCCGGGGCCCGAACTCTAGCGCCCAGCCGGGCTCGCGCCAGTGCGCGTGCGCCGGATTCACACGCACTACCTCTTGGGATTTGTAGTTCCTCCGCACATTTGCTGGGGCTGCCCTTCCCTTAGCGGTTTGTGTCTCAGTCTTTTAGAGGACTTGGGGTCCGCTCCGCCCCGGGGGGTCAGAAGTAACCAGGCGCACTCGAGGGTAACGGAGGAACTTAGGTCCCAGGTGCCCTGTACCTCTTAATTTTTGCCCTGATTGAGGAGCCAGGCGCTGATAGAGGAGTACTATGGGAGTCCTGTGCTTTTGTGGAATCAAAGGGACACTTTTGTCGGGATAAGGGGGAGTTGGAGGAATTCTGCCAGCAGCCCCAGGGCACCGCCTCCCAGCCTGGCCCAGAACTCGGTCAGGTGCAGTGGTTTGTGGCTGGGCTGGAGCCCCACTTGCCACTAGCCCCAGGTAACAGGATCCCATACCCTCGCTGGCCAGCACCAAGGCCTTAACAGCGGCCACAGGGAGGGGTGTGAGCTGGGGAAGTTGGGCCGGGGCCAGACTCCACTTGTTTATCGCATCTCAGCTTACTGGGGCAGGAGGGTGCAGGCAAAACCCAGGGCCAGAGACCCACGCCTGGCCTCCAGCCCTCAGGTGCCACTAGCCCCCCTGGATCAGAGCCCCCTCAAAGGAGCATGAAGCTGTTGGAGAACTCAAGCTTCGAGGCCATCAACTCGCAGCTGACTGTGGAGACAGGTGATGCTCACATCATTGGCAGGTGAGACTGTGCCGGTCATTGCCTGGCCCCTGAGTCCAGCCTGGGTGGTGACAGGACCTCCTTGGCCACTTACACCCACCCCACCCCCACAGGATCGAGAGCTACTCCTGTAAGATGGCAGGGGACGACAAGCACATGTTCAAACAGTTCTGCCAGGAGGGCCAGCCCCATGTGCTGGAGGCGCTGTCCCCGCCGCAGACTTCTGGTCTCAGTCCCAGCAGGTGAGCAGTCCGACTTGCCCCCAGCTGGAGGGGGGCCCTGGGGAGGGCTTGCAGAGCTCACTGACACTGTTCACAGCAGACTTAGTAAGAGCCAGGGTGGTGAGGATGAAGGTCCCCTGAGCGACAAGTGCAGCCGCAAGACGCTCTTCTACTTGATTGCCACGCTCAACGAGTCCTTCCGGCCTGACTACGACTTCAGCGCTGCCCGGAGCCACGAGTTCAGCCGAGAACCCAGCCTCAGTTGGGTGAGTGAGGGGAAAAGGAGGCATGACCCATAGTGGGCCCAGTCTGCCCCCCCCCAGCCCTGTGCCCAGCCTACTAGCCTGATGGTGACTCTTCCTAGGTGGTGAATGCTGTCAACTGTAGTCTGTTCTCTGCCGTGCGGGAGGACTTCCGGGCCCTGAAGCCGCAGCTGTGGAACGCGGTGGACGAGGAGATCTGCCTGGCCGAATGCGACATCTACAGGTGGGCTGGTGCCCCTGCAGGCGGGGCCCAGTTCAGTGTGCACCCAGGCTTCATGCCACCTCTCACCCACCCTCAGCTATAACCCAGACTTGGACTCAGACCCCTTTGGGGAGGATGGCAGCCTCTGGTCCTTCAACTACTTCTTCTACAACAAGCGCCTCAAGCGGATTGTCTTCTTTAGCTGCCGCTCCATCAGGTCATTGGCACCCCCCGGGTTCCCCGGCACCCCCCGGGTTCCCCAGCCCCCCTACAGGACCCCACCCCATTTTGTCCTGGCCCATCCAGCCCAAGCTGTGGGTGCCAGTTAATAGGCTTGGCGTAGGAGGTCCTAAAGCTGGTCCACCTTCTCCAGTGGCTCCACCTACACCCGTTCGGAGGCAGGCAATGAACTGGACATGGAGCTGGAGGAGGAGGAGGAGGAGGAGAATAGAGGCAGAGGCAGTGAGGGTGGGCCCGAGGAGACCAGTGCCATTGAGGAGGACAGGTGTGTGGTGATGGCCATGGGCTGGGAGCCTAGAGTGGAAGGAGGGTGGAGGGAGGTTGGAGGCCTCTGTGGCCCCTGCAGCCCTCTGTGCCTACCTCTGTCCAGGGTCCAGGTGATCTGTATGTGAGCAGAAGAAGCGGAGCCCCAGTTTCACCCAGCTTCTATGGATGTCCGGACCTACCTGCCCGAGGGCCCAGCGCCTCCCTCAGCTGCTGGCCCTTTGGTTCCAACCTTTGACCGTCCCCTCACCCTCACACTCCCCTCATGCCCACCCTGTGGCTGGCGAGGACAGCACGGGGCCTGGTGGAAGGGCCACTGCCCTGCCCAAACGAACTGCCACGGAGCAGGGACAGCTGGACCATAGAGTTTATTTTTCTATTTTGACTGAGGCAAGGCCTGGGCCTTCACACTCCGCCCGAAGAGCCCACTGCCCAGACCCGGCCCCAGGCCCCAGCGGACCTCTGTACTGGGCTTGGGCCAGCCAGCCTGGCCCCCACCTTGCCCATCAGGACACGTGCACTGAGTGTCACTTTGCTGCAGCTCGTTTGTTTCCAATAAAAGTTTCCGTGATTTAGCTAAGACTCCATGGAGTAGGGAGGGGCGGGGCCTGCGCCGGGGCGGGGCCTGCGTGGGGGGGAGGGGCTGCGGCTTCACGTAACCTAGCAACAGTGTGCTGTTCTTCCCGCGCCCCGCCGCGGGAAAGCCCTGGCAGTTGCTGGGCCGAGAACACAGCCTCCGTAAGAGGCGAGAGGGTTGAGCCCAGGCAGGCTCTGTCCGTTGGAGAGCGGCAGCCAGCTCTGGACATGGACCTCTGTGACACAGACGCACCTGACGCCCCAGAGCAGAGACTCTTCAGGGGCAAGAATGGTGAGGGCCGCCGGCCCGGCCCCCAGCTAGAGGCTCCAGGAGCCGGGCCAGAGGCGCATCCCTCCCTGACTGGGCACCACCTCGCCCGCCCCCCTTGCCCCAGAAGGAGAGGGGCTCTCGAGGCAGGTCAACCTATGGACGCTGTTGGGGGTGACAGTGCTTCCGCTGCCCACACGCAGAGTCTCTGTGCTCAGAGCCCACGCAGTTCCTGCGGATTTTTACTACTAGCCTGCGGTGGCTCAGCATGACGCCGCGTTCCCGCGCCCAAGAGCGCTGGCTGCGCCTGCGCAGAGGTCTCCGCGACCTAGTGGAAAAGGTGCGGGCTCAGGCTCTCCTCCAGGGTCCTCAGGACGAGCCAGCCTGCCCCTTTTGAGCCCCACAATCCTTGATCCCTGTTGGTCCCGGCCCACAGGAGAAGAAAGCCGAGATGCGCGTGGCGTGCTTGACCCACGGTCTGGAGCCCCTGCGCCGCCTGGATATGGCAGCGGGGTTGTGCTCGGTGGCGCAGGACCCGCTGAGTGGACGGCTGGTGGTACTGGACGGCAAGGGTGTCCTGCACCTACACAAGAAGGACGGCTGGGCGCAGGAGAAGCTGGGGGCTCCTGCCCAGATCACGGGGCTGGTGGCTGTGCCAGGCACTCTGGGCGCTCAGAGTCGCTTTGTGGGCTGGGGTCCCGCGGGGCTGGTTATTCTAGGGCCCACTCTCTGCCTGCTGTGGCAGAGCCAGCCAGGGCTGGGGCCAGGGCAGACCCTGGAGCCCACCTCCTGCCTACCTGTGCCCAACTCAGACCTCCTTGTCGTGGCGCGGATGGACGGCGCTCTGGAGCTCTGGAAGTTCCGCTTGGGCGGTCGCTTCTTGGTGCCGCTTGGGCCTTGCCTGCAGCCCCCTCGGAGTGTCAGGGGTGTGCTGTCGCGTATGACACTGGGGGGGGCGCCACCTTGCCTCCTGCCCCCCTGCTTCGCTGCGTATGGCACCGCTGTGCTCACCTTTGATCTGCACAGCTGGGCCCTTGTAGACGTGCACCGAGACCTGCACAAAAAGTAAG